TATTATGCATATTTTGGAATAAAATTTCAAAAGATGGTGGCGTTTTCCCTTTCCTTTTTTATTGATGCTTTTCTGTTATGAAATAAGGGCACTTGTCTTTCGCACCTCCGTAAAGTAAAAATTGAACCGTAACAATTTGTCGTCCGATTCTAGGAACATATCAGTTAGTACAATCGACGACGAATTGAAAGCTAGGGTACACAATTTTGTAAATCCCAAATCAGCAAATAATGATCACGTGTCATGTTACGTAAATTCCAGTGTGCAATGTTTGCTCCCATTACATGAATTTCATAACTCAATTTATAAAAATGAATGATTTATTAATCAATCCCTCTACAAATTATGCGGAGAACAACAGACAACGTTCTTGAGCTACGGCGCTGCGTCGGAAATTTATTTGCTCAACAACAACAGCATGACGCAAATGAATTCTTACTCGAACTTTTGGGCTGGTTGGATATTGATTGATTGATTTGATTATGTTGTTTTCTAACAGCATGCAAATGTAAGATTTTGCGGTAATTATTCATTGCAAGAGCTTGGTGAAGCAACATACTAAAAAGTTCTTACTTTGTATTTTCCCGAAGGTTCTTACGAATCAATCGACTTTAAGAGAATGAGTGAAGCTGGACTCTCTGACGTTGAATGTGCCAACTGTCCGTAAAGTTTCTTGCAAACTAACTTTAAATTAACTGGAGTTCACAAATATTTAATTGTCACACTTCAGAGTACGCGACTTATTGGTAATCGCTATGTAAAAATTAAAGCTACATTTACAAACGAACTAGTCGTCATCCAAAATTTCGTTTTTAAAGTTGCCTTCGTAATGTTGCATTACGGAGAAAATATGTTGCCATTAGAAGACAACCAAATGGCAACTGGCTATATGGCGCACCAGGAGGGCTCCAGCAAGCAGAGGCGTTCTCAGAAGGTCCCCTACAAGGGCGATCTGAGGAGGATACCCACGTCGCGAGCGAGGTGGACGGCTCGGAACACCACCTCGTTGACACACCGCCCCCGAACAGGAGTGGAGCTCAAAAAAGGAAGGAGGGCGAAGGAGAAGAGACTTGCGGTGACGGTTACGGAAACGCGGACGGGCTCTCTTCCGGCGCCCAGCAATCCCGCCACGCCGTCAACGGAGGGCGCCATATGGGGCACGCCGAAAACGGCAGGCGGGAAGCGGAAAAGGAAGATGGGAGAGACCACCCAGGTCGGGGCACCTGCCGGTTCTACTGCGGTTCATAGGGTCCCTTAATCTTCGCTTAAGCATGTATATCATGGAGGGGAGGCAAAACACCCATCCCCTGATATGCTTGGTTAGGCTGTGGAGGAGCCACATCCTGATCGAGATGATGGATGAAGAAACCAGGGTGTAGGTTGTTCGCAGGGAGCTGATCAACGTCAGGCCCGGGGGCTCTCAAACCTGGTGGAAGTCGATCCAGAAGGATTGAGGCTAAGAAGGGCGGCGATCTGGATTCCGGGCCTGTAGGCGGTTGTCTCGAACGAGGCACTAGTCCGCTGCCTGGCAGCCCAGAATGGCCTAGATTGCCGTGCCTGCAGGGTCTGGCAGAGGACGGAGGACGAAGGAAGTAAGGGGCATAAGGTTGGTGGTGGGCGTGGACGAGAAATCGGCAAGCGCCATCACGGCTAAGGGCTCACTTCTCTTCTGCCTGGCGACCCAGGTTAAAGTGAATCTGGCAGCGCTGAGGCCGTAGGGGATGAGAAGGGCTCACAAGAAGAGGGCTCAGAGGAAGGGAGAACCGAGGAGAAATCTCGGATGGAGATAGACCGGGGAATCCCATCAGGGTCCACCAGTCAGGAAGTGCAAACGGAGGGAGGTGTTCGGCTGAGGCTAGCAGCGTGACCCTCACGTGGTATTCCTGTAACAACATCTTCACGGGGATATTACAAATTAATCTGCAACACAGCAGGGCTGCAACGGCCCACTTATGCAGGAAAATCTTGGAGGGCGGTACATCGATTGTACTGATTCAAGTTCCCTGGATTGTAAAATCAAGGGTTAGGGGCTTATCGTTAGGAGGGTCGATGCTGCATAGTGTCGACTCGTCAGGAGGCGGTCCCAGTGCCTGCATACTAACAATGGTTCTGCAGGCCTTTTTCCTAAGGGTCAAGGCGTCCAGGGACCTGGTTTCAATTCTGGTCAGATCTCCCACTCGAGACGGCGTGAGGGAGGTAGTAGTCGCCTCTACGTACTTTCCAGGCGACCGCAGCTGTCCTCCGGAGGAGATCAGTGACTTGGTCTCCTATTGTGAGGCTGCGAATCTTCCTCTTTTGATTGACCGCGATAGCAATGCTCACCACGTTATGTGGGGCAGCGCGGCGAATAATCGAAGGGGGCAAGACCTCGTGGAGTTCATGGCCTCGGCAGGGCTGCAGGTAGCCAACAGAGGGGTAGAGCCCACGTTTTTCACGACGGTCGGAGCTCGGTTATATACTTGACACTGTGTACCAGGGCTCTGCTCCCGGAAATAACTGGGTGGTGTGTCTGTGGGGAGGACTCTATGTCGGACCATAGATACATCACCTTTGGGTTGAAAATGGGTGTTCGGAAACCCGTTTAGGAACCCCCGGACAACAAACTGGGAACTCTCTTGGCGCCTAGGGGGATTACCAAGAAAACACCGGACACCTTCACCTTCAATAACACGGCCCTGTATTCGATCTGCATGGCGGTGAAGCGTACTGGAGTGGGCACAGCCATTGTAAAATGGATCCGCTCCATGCTAACCGACCAGAGGGTTGAGGCAATACTGGGTGGGGAGCAGGTCCCCATCACGGTGTCTATGCTCAGGGATATGCAGACGACCTTGTGATAGTGCCACACGGGACGGATGTGAGAAGGAAGCAGGGGCTCCTGAGCGGGGCATTGGCAGGACAGCAAGTTAGCTGTCGATCCTGGCAAGGTGGAGATGGTCATCTTCACCAGGAAAAGGAAGTTAGAGCGTAACCTCAACATTTCGATGGATGGGGTGCCTCTTTCTGCAAGCGGAAGCGTCAAGTACTTGGGGATATGGTTGGACTCAAAGTTGACCTTCCAGGAACATATAAGATCAAGGACCAAGGCGTTTGGAGCTCTGTAGGCGTGCCGGAGAGCGGTAGGGGGCCAAATATCATGCACTGGATCTACTGCCTATCTACCAAACTAACCAAAAGAGCAGGAACAAGGCTAGTTCTCGACAAACAAACAAACGCGGGACCCAGACCAACGTGACATTCCTCATCTCGACCACTCTCCTCAGTACCCCTTTGCACTCTACTGTCCTACTGTCAGAGCAGAAGCATACTCCCCTGCTACCGTGGCTGATCCGAAGCACCTCTCTAGTCGCCATCAATTGTGACTTTCAAGTGGGTTGTTTTAGCCTAGTTCGTATCTTTTATTTCTATTTTTTTCGTTTTTTTTTTGGGTTGAAGAACGGCAAGTAGTAGTTCGTTGAATTTACGTTATTATTCTAATTAATTTTTACTTATTTATACGAACACTTCGTTGACTTTTCTTTTGTGGACGCCATGTAGCTTGCTAAGGCCCGATGATACTACAAGTTAAGCTACCTCCAGAATAAAACTACCAAACTCTAAAGATGATTACTTACGTTTATTAATCAACAGTTACCACCCGCAAGATCGTTTCGACAACTACAAGTTTATTTGCTGAAAAAAAAAACAATAACACTAAATAGTAGGTACCAGTGCTGGGCAAACAGTAAATAAATAACTACAAGAGAATCCGATTATCACAAATTATTATCACTAGTGGATTCAACAACAGTTAGCGCGCTAGCCCAGTGTTGGCTAAATGACAAACAGTAAGCCGGTAAATCCGGTAGTAATAGCAAAACCACTACGTGGTACTTATCCGAAATCCTTTAGTATGGATGCCGCGGATAGCGGACTTGCGTCGACGTGGAGGGACGACTAACCCAGTAACCCCGCCCGACGGCCTGGATGGCTGGACGGACTGGTGTACCCTAGTTGCGCTCAACCACTACCTCCTTACACCCAACCTATGCTTTTAAGAGGAAACTATGATCAGGAGGATCACGCACGGGCCTCCAGCTGTGCTGTATAATACAACAAAATGTCGCCTTACCTCCACAGCAGTTTCCCGAACCGATGAACCGATGGAGACGCCGCGAACCAGCAAGACTCTTCAATGGCTAAACTAATGGCCAATTCTAGACGTTATTTACGCAAATAACATTTCCGGATCATAGTAGTACATATACAAGCGAAACTTATGGATTTGCCCACTAAATTATCAACGAGGGTCTGTCTTGCTTGTCGAGTTGCTACTGAACCCTAAAACGATCTCAGCAGGAGATGCGCGCGGAAATATCGCGATCCTTTACACGCGTTGGCATTCTTCCGTGTGAATATTTTGTCGAACGATATTTTATACCTACAGGTAGTCGACCCATTATACCCTATTAATCGTAAAGCTAATCCTATTCGAAATATATAAAAAAAAAATCGTAACACGATATAGCGAAAATTTCCGCCTGAAACACGGTGCAGTACTCACCGAAAGCGAAACAGAAAGCATTGTTTTTTAATTCTGTTAGAAACAATTTTTTTTTACAATTAACATTATTTTCCAAATTTTGTAATTAAGGGCAAAATTGGAAACGCTTTCAAATTGAGTCTGCAAATATATATGCATGATGTCAGTAAGAGAATTTCAGAGACGTAATATTGTACATGAAGTTATTATATAATTATCCGCTGTCCTCGTGACTCAAATGCTGTTTACCACACTTGTCGCATAGTATACTATTCAGCATATTCATTACAATTAAATCGGTTGATGGCTGAATATTTCGTGTTATTCAAGAGAGTTGAAAAAAGTTTTAAAATTGGATTTTTTTGTGTATATATATAGTAGCATGTTTATTTAATACCAATAATGGTAATTTCATGTGAATATACTTTATCTTTCGCGAAAATTAAAATTAAGGAAATATAAAACATATTGACAGAAAATGAATTCGTTTATCCAACATTTTGGTTATGGACATTTCATTCGGTTTGCATATAAAATATGCTGACTGCATCATTTATTTTTAAAACTCACTCAAAATAGATAACTCAAAATTAATCTTTATTTTCCGCATACTACACGCATACATATTGAAGCATATGGCGCGATCAACCAATAGGAAGTTGACGGTCCCAGGAACGAACGAAATTACGTCATAGCGATGTCAGATGTCGATTTGACGTTTGCTTCAATTTGTGGCGATTCGTCTGGAACTAAGGGAAAATTGAGCAATCTGATTTGGTTTCAATGCTGTTGCATTCCAAATGTACCTTTTCTGGATAACAACACTTTCTCCAAGTTAATTAATGGGCCTTCGAAAAGCATGCTAAGGACAAAGGCCAAAATGTATGCCAACAGGATATCGGCAGCAGTTTGGTATTCCTAAAAATTTATTGATTTATTTAAAATGACGGAATATCTGTCTGCAATGCAGCAAAAGGTTGTTCCCCCTGTGCTCCTTACTCTAAAATACTTAATTATGCGCTGATCAGGCGTACGTAATCAGATGCTTCAAGTAGATGTACCCGAAAACTAATGCTCTTGGAAGATTTAAAGTATGCAACAACTTGATAAACTTTTTCACTCACTCGTTGACTCGTACTAAAGTAGCGTTCATAAAAAATTTTGCATAATTTTTGAAAGAAATTTCCTCAAGCTACCGTAATACTATTTACAAATATGCTGAATGAATTCTCTGAAGTTTCGCCAATCATTCTGTTGGCTTCCTCAGAGCTTGATTGTGAAATGATTTTAGTTTTATCTAATAAATGTTTCTTGTTCATGTTCTTTGAGTCTCCTTGATGTTTTTTGCCCAGTCTTTTCAATGTATTCCATGGCGCATATACCTGGAATGCTGTAAACTCCTTGTATCTCAAACCGAATTTTGTCTTGTACGGATCGAATATGTTCAGAGATTTTTAGACAAGTAGTAAATCTGCTTTTGGACGACAGTGGCAAGCGGACTCAATGTTTTTGGAAGGTTATGGTAAGTGTATTTTGTGATGGAACGTTTAATATCCTTAATGTGGAAATTATTAGAGAGAAGATCAGATGTAAGGTTATTTATATCTGAGTTCAGTGACTCGGGCTGATACAGTTTTACGGCTGTGTAAAGAAGAGATTTGATAACGCATGACTTTTGTGCCAAATGGTGATGTGACAAAGCATTAAGGTATTGGTTGTGCGCCTAGAGTTTCTGTAAAAATATCTAAGAATGGGAGATTATTATTAGTTTCCAATTCAATGGTAAAACGTATTTTATTTCAAGGCTGATCTAAAAGTGTTATTTTCTCCCCATTTAAGACGTCGTAACTTACTAGCCAAAATTAATTCTTGGGAACTATTAACAAAAAATATAAACAAAAACTAAAATAATCTACACATCCTATTTCATATCAAAAGAAGGATTTTGTAGAAAGTTTGGATTATTTAATGTGTTAGGCATGGAGGGCTAAACTGAAAGATGATGAGGCTGCTTGGCTATGCCCCAGGATTCATTGTTCACTGCGATATGCAAAATGTTTTAGATTTCATTATTAAAAATATGACTTTATAATATATCCATGACTCGGGGTATATTAGACCTAAAATTTCATAATAGTGTATACATGGAAAAACCAAGTGGTCAACATAGCTTAGAAAAAAACAAACCGTACATTAGTCGACAAATATTAAGTAGTACCTATTAGAGTAAGTAAACATGTAGAAAAACGCACAATGTGAAAATCTAAAATTCCTATAACTGGCACGAGGGCTACGTTTGTGCGGCTCTTTTGGAGAAGTTATTATCAGTGTGAAAGTACGCTTGGTTTAGATTTTATCGAAGTGCAATCAATTATAATTTCTTTAACACAACACGAAATTAAATACAGTGAACAGTTAGTGTATGGAACAAATTCTTTTAAAAATAGGGTGTTGGTTTTTAACACAGTTACCATAATTTTGTCTTGCGCAGTTTTTTGCAGTAAACAGAAAATGTACATTCCAAAAATTAAAAAACCTAAGGAGTTTCATCACTTGTGTTCTATTAGAATTCTGCCTGCATTCTCTAAGATTATGAAAGGGATAATGGAAAAACAAATAAGAGCATTTCTTAATATTTATAGTATTTTAGCAAAGCTTCTGATATGATAAATGATCAAATCCTCACTTGGAATTTTCACCTTTTCAGGAGTGCTTAGTAAATCGGAAGATTCAGAAACTGAGCACAATAGCAGGGATGATTTAATCGATTTACTTGAAAGGTAAATTTTATATATTTAAAACGGGATAATGTTTTTTTTGTTCAAATAATATATGCTCTACTAAAGTAAAAAAAAATACATTATTATAAGGTAAAAAAGACACGATATTCACAAAGGTAAACAAATTGACCTTGTTTTAAAGTGAAACGAAAAATATACAAGATATTTACAGAGGTAACTAAAAAAAATTAAATTTAGTACCTCTAAAGACGTAATAAAATCGTTGTTTTTCCTTTTCTTCTCAATACAAAGGATCAGTTGCAATAATTATCTGCTTATAAATTTTGACAACACAGACGGCACAAAGACAAGAATCAGCCGAAAACTAAGGAATAGAAGGGACAACATAAATGCTCCAGTTAAGTTTAGTGTTTATCGGAATTGTTACATCTTAAATGAAGTTACGAAAGAAATGAAAGTAGGATTATTTCTTATCTTTAATCACATCGATTATTTGTTATTATATTATTATATTATTTGTGAGGAGTTCAGTTTTGACGAGTAAAATTTATTGAGGAGAACAACGCCTTTTTTCCAACATAAGACAAAAAGTAAAGTGAGTTTTAAGTTTTATCAAAACGTATTTAATTATTAATCAAAATTAATGTTGTCCACTTCAAAGTAATCCCCCTCCCCCTAGATATAATACACTTGTGCCAACGATTTTTCCAATTTTCGAAGTACTTCTAGTAAGCCCTTTCTGGTGCAGCCTTGAGTTCTTCCAGCGATTTTTTGTTTATCTCCTTAATCATTCGAAACCTTCTTTCCTTTCATGGATTTCTTGAGCTTTGGGAACAGGAAGAAGACACAGTGGAGCATATGCGGTGAATATGGTGGCTGATACATGATTGTGATTTTGTTTTTGTCCAAAGCGTTCGACACCAGCAACGATAAGTGTTGTTTTACCATAATTCCCATAACTTCAAGGTAATAGTCATTATTGACCTTAAGACTTTGTGGTAAGAACTCTTGATGTACTACGCCACGATAATTACGGAAAACGGCAAGCATTGGGGCGACTGGGTTTTGGTTTCAACGTTTTAACCATATCCCCGTGATTTGTCACCAGTTAGGACCTTTTTAAGCATATTAGGATCATCATTGACTTTGTTAACAGCTCTTGGACGATGAATTTTGCTGCTAGACGTTTCATGCCCAAAACTTCAGGATAATTACAGGAATCAATTCTCTAACAGTGATTCGACGATTTTTCAAAACAATTGGTTTCACTTTTTCTACGCGTCCATCAGTTATTGACGTGCTGGGGCGTCCAGTGCGACGTTCGTTATAGGCGTGTTTTCGGCCATCTTGGAACAATTTGTACCACTAATTATGTGATAGAATATGCTGATGAAATGCTAGCTTCAGTATTCCCGGTATCTGCGACGCGACGCTTGCATAAAAACTTTATATATATAACAACTCTGTGCTTTGCGTCCAGTTCTCCTTGTAGCGGGTTAAAGAAAACCTCGTAGTTCTGTTTGTAAAATAAAAAGTGTTTTTAAAAACGAGATCCTTCGTTAGAAAACCTTAACTGGCGCAGTCGTGACGGATTTGGGGTTGTTTTCGGTCAAAGCCACGTCATCGGGACGATTTGATTGCGAAACGTGGGTTTCAACCCTTAGACTCCAAAACGAACCAGTGATAGACTGTCTGACAAACCCAACGTGATTGAGTTCGACTGAGGGCAAGGAAGGCAAGAAATCACCCCCGCAAGCAGTGCTACGCAAGGAAAATTCCAATAGGAAGAATAGGCTGACGACTAAGAGAAATCAAGGTTAGTGCCCAAAATTCCTATTGTTCTCCTTTCATCTTCCCTGGTTAGGACGGTGGAAATAATTTTAAGGATTCTTAGTTTTAAGTTCAATTTTAAGAAATTTCAAAATCAATTAAATTTATGAACGAAGATAAAGACGTCGACAATTTAAGTGCGTTTTTTACTTCGTTAAATTTAGTGGAAAAGAAAGTAGAGAATAGTCAAATCAATTTGAAAATGAATTCTAATCAATCGTCGAATTCAGGTGTAAATTACACTTTGTTAAAAATGTTTATAGATAGTATTCTGCCATATAATGGTGATTCCAACACTTTAAATAGTTTTCTATCAGCTGGAGATTTCCTTTTTGATACATATCGTCAAGGAAACGACGAAATTTTAAAACAATGTTTGTTAAGAACTATAAGAATGAAACTTGTTGATCGCGCACAAATTCTAGTAGGCTGTAGAATGGAGTTAGTAACGTGGGACAATATTAAAGGAGCTTTGTTAAATTGTTTTGGCGATAGACGAAACTTAGAATGTTTAGAACAGGATTTGTTTATGGCCACCCCCTTTAAAAATGAACATCCTTTAGATTTTGGGAAAAGATTACAAGTTTTAAGAAGTATCCTTGCTCAAAAAATTAATGCATTTCCTGCCGATACTATGGATAATGCAAGCAAAGTAATTCATTTACGTCAATACGATCAAATTTGTTTAAGGACGCTTATTAGAGGATTACCAGGACAATTACAAAGTATTATAAGACTTAAAAATCCGAGCTGTATAGAAATAGCTATGACCCAAATTATTGAAGAGGAAAATTTTCAATATACACAAAATATCTTCAAAACTCCAATTCAATTAAAAGTTTTGCCTAATACTTCTATCGAACCCGTTAAACAATTTTCACAAAATCCAAATTATTTTAGTAACCAAAATTTTAATTATGTACAACCGATTCGCCCTACAAATTATTTTCAAAACAATAATCACCATAATCAAAATTTTAGAATTAGGCATGATCAAAATCAGTTTACTCCCCAGACTAATAGTTTTCCCAGAGGTCCAATTAATATGCCTCAACCACGCGAAGTTCCAAGAAATTTTCCTACAAATAGGCAAGTTTTTGGCCCACCTAAAAACGTATTTAAACCGACAGGTCAGGTACCTAACAATAAACCCGAACCTATGTCAACAAGAACAAACTATACTATACCACGTCAAAATAATCAAATTAACCATTTCAAACCTACTGGCCCTAGAAATTTTATTTCTCAAGAATTATACCAAATCGACGAAAGTAACGCGGTATAAACAGATGAAACATCTGCGGTATTTCAAAATGAAAATATTCACCAAGAGGAATACTCTGAAAT